TTCTGGAGGATATAAATGCTCCTTGTAGCTCAGATATAGTTACTTGGGCTTCAGAGGTGCACGCTGTCTGCCTGTCTCTTGTACCTTATAATTATTCAGAGTGAAAAAGTCTGTAGAAAGAAATGACAACACCTTCCTTCTCTCCACCAGAGATCTACACAACAATAATGATTCGCCTGGTGGTAGTGTCAGGTTTATTGTGCCTCTTTTCTGCATCTGTGCAAGGAACTGACTGCCCTGGAGGACTTGTAAGGTTAGTGAAATTCATTAAGTTCTCCTTCAAGAGAGGTGTGTGTTAATGATGCCTGGTCATAAGATATATAGTATTATATAGTGTTATAGAGTAATACCATATTGATATTGATTTTCCACTGCATATATAAGCGTTATATGCTGTCTGTATCTGTATCTAAATCTATCTCTCTGTCTATCTGTCTATCTCTCTCTCTCTCTCTATATATATATATACACATATCTCTATTTTTCTTTCTTTCCTTGACACATCCTTCCAATTATTGATCAATTATGTTTTCACAGATGTCCTAGTTTCATGACCTGTTGTGAACTTGCTAATAAGGAGTATGGCTGTTGCCCCTTCCCAAATGCCATGTGCTGTAAAGACCATGTCCACTGCTGCCCGGAGAGTACGTATTCAGTGAAATAAAGAAACCAAAAATAAAAAACAAGATATACTCATGCACACATTCACATGCATATATACAAATGCACCCACAGCTAGGCCTATTTAAACATATATGCACACCCACAACTATGATCATACCCCATGAACACACTTACGCATACACACACATCCATAGATTCGAGCATAAAAACACACACACACACACACACACACACACACACACACACACACACACACACACACACACACACACACACACACACACACACACACACACACACACACACACACACACACACACACACACACACACACACCTCTCTCTCTCTCTCTCTCACACTCTCTCTCACACTCACACTCACACTCAAAATACAAACACAAACACCCTCACAATATTTTATTATTATTATTATTATTATTATTATTTATTATTATTTTTATATTTATTTATCTTTTAAATCCTGAGTATACAAAGATGAATATTATGGTTCTTGTGTGTATATACTTTGTGTAAATACATTAGATATATTGAGAATCTACATCCTGACATACTTAACCCCACTTTAAGTCAGAACAAGAATTGCTGGTTGATTTCCCTCCTTCGTCTCTCCCCAGACATGCAGTGCGATGTAGCCCAACAGACCTGCAGGAAGAATGGGTCGCCACTGCAGTTCTACTGGAGAGTCCCCATCCAGCCTGAGCTCATCGAGTCCAATGTGGAACTGCTAAAGGAAACGGTTCCCGAGGAGAGCAATCGTCTGCGTGAAGTTAGAGGTCAGTGAATTTTTCCCGTTTTTCTCCTATGTATAGGATTTTGAAAATGTCTATCTCCATCTCAGTCTCAGGTGTAATGCATAGGGCATAAGGTTAATGCATATCACACTTATGTAGTTACTTGCTAGGGGTAGGAAGAAAGGTTTAGCATACAAGTGGTGGTGTTTGTGTTTGTGTGGGTGTTTGTTTTGTTAGATGTTTGTGTAATTTGTCTGTAAAGGTTTTGAGTGCTCCTATTTTTTTAGACTAGAGGGTATCTATGCACACTATATCATATAGAAAAATGTATATTCCCCTTCAATATGATGTAATCAACATTATGAAAGTGAAAAAAGGAGTGCTCTCATATATTGTGGTTACAAAAAGCATTCAAACTTTTTTTAAAGTCTCTACAACAAGTGTTGAGGTCCAGAAAATGCAGGAATCAGGAGGGGGACCAGGGGCAGAGCGCCTGGTAGGGAAATATGGTGATGGCGGGGGGTCCGGGAAGGGAAGGTTTTTGGTACACACGGTGATCTTTCATATTGTTTGTGCATCTATGATAGGGTTCATTCGCTCATTCATTCATACAGTGCGGTGTCAAATCTTCCGTGGCTGAATCTTGTCTCAGGATTTTCTATTTTCCACTTTCTTTATCACATGGAATGTGGTTATTGACTTGGGATTTTATTTTTCCACTTATTCTTGCTCTTTAATATGCCTGCCGTGAGTGAAATCCTAATTCCCCATAGGATCCCTCAACATTGCTGGCTGAAGTAGCAGAAGTATCTGACTTCTGCTACAGTATACATATATTTCTCTTAGAAAATTGTATTTTTCTCAGGTAAATAGATGCATTTTGTTTTGAAAAGGATTACCTCCTGTTTCTATGGTGTGCGGGTAAAACAAGTGCTTGGAAGGGTCGATATTGGTGTGATAGGTAAGAAGCTTGCTGTTGTGTGAACTTCACATACTGTATGTATGTGCTGTGTGTAAATAGTCCTCTTTGTAAATGTCAGTAAGTTTGTTTGGGTTCTTGTATGTGATTGTAAGTCTGTGTGTATTTTTTCATGTCTTTACTTACCTTTTTCTATTTCCATCTTTTGGTGTGTGTGTGTGTGTGTGTGTGTGTGTGTGTGTGTGTGTGTGTGTGTGTGTGTGTGTGTGTGTGTGTGTGTGTGTGTGTGTGTGTGTGTGTGTGTGTGTGTGTGTGTGTGTGTGTGTGTGTGTGTGTGTGTGTGTCTGTGTGTCTGTGTGTGTGTGTCTGTGTCTGTGTCTGTGTATCTGTGTCTGTGTCTGTGTCTGTGTGTGTGTGTGTGTGTGTGTCTGTGTGTGTGTATTGTCATGTGTGTGTGTATTTGTCAATGTGTGTGTGTATTTGTCAATGTGTGTGTATTTGCCAATGTGTGTGTGTGTCTCTGTGAGTTTGAAACTTACCATTATGTTATTATGCTTGTGAAAGTCCCCCTTGCAGACTTATTTTGTAATTCATGTAATTCATCTGTACATCACATTACTTGTAGGTAATATATAACATATTGCTCAAGTAAATCCCATGTTTGTCGGCAATTTAGTTAACTTGAATCGTCATATAACTTTCAGTTATCTTTTTGGAGAAAGTGGTAACTGCACATATCTGCTGGGAGGGCACACATGTACTTAGAAGACTCATTGTAGGGATAACTTGAATTGACCTGTTAAATTCTAATACAAAGTACAAAACTATGTTGAAATTTTATTGCAATTTTGTGACATTAGTAATTTGGTTTCAGCAGTGTAATGTATTTTATTTTAGAATTGACTCTCTTGTAATGGTGATATATTGCATAGATTTATAAAGCTACAATCTTTATTTGCTACAGATAATGAGTTTCAAATCATTGTTGTTAGATTTCACTCGGTCTGTCTCTTGCTTCATAGCTAAAGTAGGAGTAGTAGACTGACGTACAAGCAGCTCCTTGAACTAGGGTGGACCAATTATTTTATTAGGTTTTCAGTTAGCCTATAAAGCTACAGGCTGACTGGTTTCTGTAAAATATGTTGAGAAAGTTTTTCCTGCAGATGTATATCTTGGTATATTTTTAAAAAATGTTATTACTTGTACCTTCTGTATATTATATATAAAAGTAGATTGTATATATTGAAGTATTATGCTACTTTCAGGTGACAGCTGTCCTGATGGTCACCCTTGTCCAAGCATCTACACATGTTGCAAAATGTACAAAGGTGGATTTGGTTGCTGTCCCTTTGAAAATGCCCAGTGTTGCTCTGATGGATTTCACTGCTGCCCTGTTGGAAGCCAGTGCAACGCCACCACGGGAGGATGCGATGTGAGATTAATTTCTGGCATTGAATTAAGAATGAATCCTACTACCTTTCTTGCTTTCTGTTTCCTTCTTCTTCCTCCTTTTCCTCTTCTTCCACAATAACCTCCACAAGCATGGTTAACAGTATTTCTATACAATTAAACATCCATGATTTTAACAAGAGAGAAAGCTTCAAAAGTTTAATTGTAACTAATTTTCCTTGCAGCACAAAACCCACAAGTTCACCCTGGACCCCTACCCTCTCCCTGTTAAGAAAGCGACTGAGAAACCAAGAGCAGGATTTGGATCACAGCCTCTTCGCAGTGGAATCGCAGGTTAGGATAAACTTCTGTGCTTCTTCTTTTTCCTTCTCCTCCTCCTCCTTCTTTTTCCTCTTACTCTTACTCTTCCATTCTATATCTTCAGTGTGTTGGAGTGGGTGTTTGTGTCTGTATTCTTTAATCAAATGAATGCTGGTCTGAGTAACCTTTAAAACTTTGATGAGCACCATTGTTAGGTGTAATATTTACATATTACTTATTTCTATAAAGTAAATATCCTTGATATCACTGTATATATAATCATGTGATAAGCTTCCCGGTAGTTATGCTACAGTTCTTATTTTAGCGGAATTTTCTGCCTGTAACATGGATGAAACATAAGCACAACAGTTAGAAGGATTCCGGTCTTAATGGGGATCCTCAGATAGACAAGACTGAAGAACCAAAAGCACCATTGGCATGTTTATATTTTTTTACTACTCCTCCCTTCATTGTTTCATATGTCTTTTCACTTCTTTTTCAGATCCAGGTGGCAAGTGTCCTGATGGCCACCCTTGTCCTGAGAAGTTCACCTGTTGCAAAGTGCCGGACCAAGGCTATGGCTGCTGCCCTTACTCAGAAGCTGTGTGCTGCACAGACTACATTCACTGCTGTCCGAAGGGTACCAACTGCAATACAACCCTTGGCACTTGTGATGTGGTTTGTATTTTCTATGATCATTATTTGTCATTAGCTTGTGATTTTGATCATTGCTTGTGTGGTTGTTTATCATCCTTTTGGCAGAGTTATGTTCACCTGTGTGGGAATTAGCTGCTGGCCATCGAAGGTTGAACAGTAGTATGTATTCATATTGAGTAAACACTACTGGAAATATCTGTCAGGTTGTGGAATGACTGTGTGGTTGAGTTGGTCTCTCTGCAGTTTAAGGGCTAGTGAATATGAGTTCAGTTCTTATATATATATATATATATATATATATATATATATATATATATATATATATATATATATATATAT